ATGCAAGAGTATGAAGAATTGTCTCTAGGGTTTAAGCATAAAAATCGCGAAAACCTAATTCATGAATAAAGTAAGTTTGTATTGAATTTCAGCAACTTACGTAAAATAATCGAATTTTGAAAATAAATTAGATCACAATATTGATAAACTTACTTCAAATTGGTATAGAATTTCCCCAAAAACCACTGATCCGAGGAGAGAGAAAGGAGCAAAAAGTTTAGAGAGAGAAAGAGATGTTGAACTTGAAAGCTAAGAAGAATAGGAAAGAGAGGGGGTGTATCAGATTCACAAAATTACAGAATTGTCATTACTATGTTCTTTTTAAACGATTAGATTTAATTTGATCAATGGTCTACATTTGTTCTCATATATATGTATTACATACGATGTGCTATTACGATGGCCTCGCCTTTTTAAAGGTTTTAAAGATACATAAATTACAAGTGCTATTTCAAAAAATTGCACCTACTTATCGCGTGTTTTAAGATATACGTTTATAAAATTTTGACTTTTCAGAAATTTGTCCATTTACACCATCTTAGAGTACGCCACGACATAATTAAAGATGAATCAAACTCTAAAAAACATGATTTTGATGTTTCTAGATACAATATAATTTATACATTTATTCCTTTTTTCTTAAAGATAAAAAGTTGTGAAAAAAAAAATCTATTCTTTACACTTACACAAGCGTTCATTTTAAATCTAGAATTGTCGCCAAATATAATTTTTTTTTTAAAATTATTGTTTTAAATGTAATTAAATTTCTCTATACAAAACCGTATTTTGTTCAATAAATTAAATTACTTTTTTTTTATCATTTTTTTTGTACTAGTGTGGTTTTAACGGATCGAGAAATCTCTAGACCACTTTTTTGCAATTTGATTAAATTTTAAACCGTCTTTTAACCATTTGTTTTAAGGATAATCTTGCTAACGAACACCCTCGGGACGTTAAATAAGCATTTAATTAAAATATTTTTTAAAGTGGTATTATGGGAATACATGTCAAAATCACGCATCGATCGGTGTAATTACTATTCATTTTAGTTTAATATTTCTACTTTTAGTTATCTTATCTAACGTCCCAAATTCGTTAGTTTTTGCCTTGTTTTAATTTAATTTGAGTATCAAACCACTTCATATATAGTAGATAGTGAACAACCAAAGCCTTGACATAGCGCCTCAAGAAATCCCAATAGATTTCAACGAAATAAAAAACTTAACTACAATTGCATTTCAATCATAGAATCTTATTGGTGTTAATCATTTTGTAACTTTGTTGAGGAATATCATTACAGACTAGCTTAGTTTCCTTTGTCTTTGATGTGACTTATGTATACTTGAGTTTAGACACTAGGGTTTGTCATCACAGATTTTTCCTATCTTTGTCGTTTCTTTCCACTGGATGAAAGTTGCAAATTATTTGAATATAAAAGGGACTAGTTGTACAATTTGCAAAATAAACATCAATTACATCACTAACAACTGGTTTCAACCTACTAAAATCTTAGTCAAACTTTTGTTGTATTTTAATTCTTAGATAAAATAAACTAATGTACAATAAATAACATAAACGTTTGATTAAACATCATAACATCTTACATACTTCGTATTAATGGGAGAGAGATACAATATAATAATATACTTATAATCTACTCTATATTCTATTATGGACTAGTTGCTTAATTAAAAGTTTGTTTTATTTAACGTATTTTATTTGAACTTACTTATCATTTCATTTGTTTACATTAGAATATCTTTCATTCTACTTATTTGAACTTATCAACATATAGTCATATATTAACAAAAACTCGATAAATTAGTGTATAATTATATTGTTGAGGGGTGTTATCAGACTACTTGTATACTCTTACATACTAGAAAATATATGTGTGATATATTTTCCATAAATATCATTAACAGAATAATATATTTAAGATTATTTATGTTTAAGATATTATTTAGAAAATATATATCTTTAGGATTTATGATTATGCTAGTTTATCTTTTAGGAAGATTGTTTCCTATCTTATAAGCTAAGATTTTGTATAAATATTCAATAATAAACAAACCATTCTATTATCTCTTTCACCCTAATTTGTCACCTACTCATAGCAACCTTATTAAACATTTGATGATGTAATAAAAAGGTGTATGCACATTAATTAATTTAAGCCGATCCGACGACAAAGATTTTTCTACCATCTACAACAATTCTTTCCATTGGATGAAATTAAAGGTGCTACTGGAGTGAATAAAACAAGACTATCTATACAGTTTACATGCTAAACATCATTAACAACTGGTTTTAGTCAACTCTTTGTTTCACTTTCTTTCTAAATAAACTCATGTACATATATAGTATCGGATCAGGGATCTATCATAGATTCATAGATTTAAGATATGACAACTATCATTTCATTTGTTAATTTAGAGCCTATTCTATTTGACTTATTTTTTATTTAAGTATTCGAACTTATTTAAATTAGTTTAACATAAATTGAAAGCTATTAAACTCATGTTATACTTATTTGATTGTGTAAAATTTTAAAACGTGTTTTGTTTGAAATTAGTCAAAATAAATTGAATAAAAGAAGTTGTTTAGAGTGACACAATGTACTATCAACTTCTCAGTTAGAGGCGTGAGTTCATTTAAATCATTATCAATGCGTAGGCTTGCACATCTAAGGGCATGTCATATGCATATGCATGTGAGGCGTGAGTACGCACATAGCCATGCATAGCTTAGGCACACCCAATTTCATGGAATAAAAATGTACGCTTAAGCTTTTATATGTGCCACATCACTTGACATTAAGATAATTTCAATTGGATTTAATTTAGGATATACACAAAATTGGAGAATAAAAAACCGACAACTCTCAAACATAGCTTAAGATTATTTTTTTTATACCTATCATTAATTAAATACTAAAATTTATGTATAATTGACATCAACATTCAAGATTTTACATGAACATCCTATTAGATCAATTTATTATCCGCTTCTACTTTCACCACTTGACATTAAGATAATCCCAACAAAATTTAATATCAATATGTACAAAATTGGAAAATAGACATAGACAACTACCAAACTAAAAATTAAAAATCATGTCATATAATTAATTAAAATTTATTTAAACTTGACATCAACATCTTATATCCTACTATACTATAGTTAACCATGCTGTTATCCTTTAATTTGTAATTTAGGGAGAACAACTTCTAATTAAAGTACCATGCACTTGATGAAGTAACACGTTATTAATTAAGGTATATATGAAGCCATCTGTATATCTCAAAGCTTCAACCTTAATTTGTTGAGCTTTCACGAGTTATATACACAAATATAGTTGGAAATTATAAAGTTTTTACATAAATTAAATATTTGGTCATACCTTTTTTTAATTAGGTGCCAAGATATAAGTGCAACTAGTACTTGTCAACTTTAGAATTCTACACACCGAAAGCTGTGATTAAGCTGTATATCTCACATGAATTGGCTTGGCTGCTATACATTCTCATCAACTAATTGACTGCTCAATTAGGGAACACAACATCACCAGTGATCGAGAAAGAGCTATCTCACTGAAGAAGCTAGTATGCTTTTCGGTGACGATTTACATCCTCATTTATTTAATTATAATTGCTACATTTATTTGAAGTTCACGTTCAATAATGCATAATTTATATTGTCCAAATATTATGAATAACATAAATGATAAAAGTTGTTGCTTAAAGTTTTTTTTTTTTTTTAGAGAGCCACAAGGGTGAGGGTGATGAGAATCGATACCAGGATCTCCTGAAAATCGAGAAGAAACCCCTAATCACTTGATTTATCCCCCACTCTTTATTAATTGGGTAATATATCTAAGAGGCTAAAAATATTTTAACGTAAAATGGCCACTTATATTGATTGGGTAGGTTATGAAATCATCAAATAGCTAACATTTGTAACCTAGCCAATGATCATGAAGCAAGTATTTTGAACAATACTATAATATAAAGTAGATAAAGCATCTTCAACTCCAATACTTTTGTAACAAGTGTGTCCCTACTTGTGGCTATAATAAAACTAGAAATATCATCTTTGTATTTGATTCAAGACATAACTTTTGGTTGTAAAAAGAAAAAAAGACATAAAATTTATTCGCATGGTTCACATATTGATCGATATGTATTTTGACAACAAAAGACAGCATAGATAGGTCATTAAACTTTACTAGTCATAGATTTGCAGTAATATTTGCCTTCTTACCTCTACCACGTATCAAGCTAATAGGTCCCGCGTCGTCTAGCTCACGAGAAAGACAACAACAAGGTCAACAACTTTGTAGTCCAAGTATCAGTCTCTTTATGCCGGAATACACCGTAGTATCTAACATTTTGACTTGTAGTTATTTAAAAGATTTTAATATAGTCAAAAAAATTATAATTTTAGCGTCAATTTTTATATTATTGAGAGGCTACTTGAATTGAATTGCTATATTGATGGGTAACTTATAATATTTAAATTTGCATAATAAAGGCATGACTTATATATAGTTGTATGACTTGTTAAATTGTTTAAAGATGAATATCAATCTCAACTAAGATTAGTTGTCTTTTTACTTAAATTAGTTAAATGTATTATACATAACCAGCACAAAAACTTTGTTAGCAAGACATCCTCCCAAAGCTATTTACAAGATTAATAAACATAATAATACTTTTTAAAATAAATTATAATTCAATGTCTCATGTTAATTAATTGATTGGTTAATCAACTTAATTATTTCATACAAAATAAGTTTAGATTAATTCAAATTAGTTCAATTAATTTAAAAAGTTTCAAATCAGATTAATTCAAATAAAATAAGTTAAATCAAATTGCATCACCTAAGTTCCTACTTCATTAGAAGAGGCGAAATATATAAAGTGAAAACGACACATGTAATCACTATAATAAAAAAAATTAAAAAAAAAACAAAAAAACTTCACATATATATACATAATATGAGTATATATATACCGTATAAATCTTTAGTATAAGGTGGGCTGATAGCAAATTATCAATCAATTCAAATATCAAACGATGGTATTCTAGTAACTTTCCAAAATCCCATACAAAAATGGAAAACGAAGAGAGAGAAAATCATAATCTTCATCAAAATCAGCATAATCTTCATCAAAATCTACTATCACCAAAATCACAAAAACAAACCTTACAATATGAAGATGATGAATTAAAAAGTCTAAGAATATTTCTAACATGGGCTTGTGTTGATCAATCAAACCCTTGGAAAACAAGCCTATCTTGGTCCGTTTTCTTCTTGTTTTGTATTGGTGTTCCAATTTTATCGCATTTTGTATTGTATTGTTCAACTTGTAAAGATGAAGATCATCTTCAACCTTTTGATTCCATTGTTGAGCTTTCGCTTTCGGCCATTTCTATTCTTTCATTTCTTAATCTTACCAAATTTGCTAGAAAACTTGGTCTTAGGAGGTTCCTTTTCCTTGATAAGCTCTATGAAGAGAGTGATCGGGTTCGGTTCGGGTACTCCAAACAACTTCAGGTACGTTCTCAATCATCTAATCTTATTAATTTTGCTAAATCCCCTGTTTTTTAAACAGGGGATTTAAGAAATTTGGTAAAATATAAAATATACCTATTTTTAGTAATTAAATTAATACGTGCAAAATAATACGAAGTAAGGTATTTATTCTTTAATACAAGGATTTTATATTGATGTGTTAAAGTTGGGGTCTTGGGGATATGATCATCATATTTTTTTTATTCCTTTTTGTCTAAATTTGGGTTTATGGGGTGTGGAATTTAGATTTTTTTTTTTTATCGTTATTAATAAAATTATATTTTAGTTTATCATAAATGATTAGGGAGTGTGGTTTAAACAAGTATTTAATTTATATGAAAGCTATTTTTATGATCTTAAAGATTGTAAATTTGTCATCAATGAGATATAGTCTTATGATTGATGAATAAGATACTGCAACTGTACAAGTATTATGATTTTGGTTTTGATTAAGATTATATGATTGAAGTTTATCTGATTTTGTGGTGTGATTATTTTAAATTTTCTACCTGGTGGTCGGTGGAATTCCTCCGAAAACTCTGGGTCTTATGTTGGAAATTATAGTTGTTAGTGTGTATTTGAAGAAATTGAGTCATATTTTTCCATTGAAGCTAGGTTTAGACTGGGATGTTGATCGAGATTGGTAAAATTTGACTAATTTCGAGTGCATTTCTTATAATTTTTACTACATAAGAGGGTTTTAGGTAAGTTAAATAACCGTAAAAGAAAAAAAAGGTAAGGGAGATAAAGACACTATTAACAATAATGAGCAAATCTATATTAACCAGAGCTTCTAATCTAGAGCCCTCAAAATTGAGTAATACTATGTAATAAAATAGTGCATTCAATTTTCATTTTACGAAGTATTCTGTTTCAAGTTGATCAACTGTTACATAAGTTTTGTCATTTATATCCCTTTTTAATTCGTGGGGCATAGAAGGTAATCACTTTCGGCACACCTTAAAAGTAAGAGATATTTTGAGATGAAAAAAAAAATAAAGGACAAGAGTAATCTATATTGAGATAGGAATGTGTATGTTTCTATTTACGATTAGTATATCCGTATATGCTTCCCCAGATTAATCAATACAATTATACACAAGTGACATACTTACACTACTCACCTAAGCACAAGCTTTGCTAGCATACTTGGCCATGTCGGCATAATATACGAATGGACGAGATGTTGTGTGACTTATTTTTTGATAAAGTTGTGTCAAATTATTAGAAAGTATACATTCGACTGATTCGAGATCATGTAAGAAATTGCCTTGATGAGGAGGTAGTAGAAGGATCATGGGTATATAGTAGTTTTCGGCAACTTTAGCGCATTAAAGTAAGGTTTTTTTCTAGCAAAAGCAATATGCAAAGAGTTGAGAACAAAGCATATTAAGCAAATTGTGCCTTTGTCGTTTATGCTTATCATCATTCCATCAACCTAATTGTTTCAAGTGATTGAAGGAAATAGAATTAAAGAATGCAACTTTTTAATCAAAGTCATTGTCATATACCCATCCAAAACGAACACGAACTATTAGTCTGATTAGCTAGGCAGATAGTTCTTCTTCTTAGGTTTAATATTAGCTTTCTTTCTTTTAATTTGCTCTTTATACTACCTAATGCACCAAATTTTAAATTACAAATAATAGTAGTTTTTAGACTTCTAGTGGCCTTGGTGATAATAAGTAGAGCAATCCGTGAAAGATTAATATTCAAACTTGACACGGTCATAATTGAATCAACTAATCTTGACTCGAGCTTGAATATATTACAAAAGCTTAGTCAATACTAAATTTATATCATCTCAAAACATTGTTGTTTAGTTGAGTCAATAGTCAATACTAAATTTATATAAAAAGTGAATTTCATTGACACGTGAAAACTATAATGAAAAAGTATTTAAGAGTTTGACTTTAAATAATTTCACGAGATTTTCAAATTCAACTCATTTTGAATAAAAATTGAGCTTAAGTTGTACAAGTTTGGAGTCGGATTGAGTTTAAGTTAGCTCATCTTGTGGTAGATTTGTATTGCTACTATCAAGTTATCAACCCTCTTAATTTATATCAATGTTCCTTAATAATTATGGCCTAATTGCCTTCATATATACCATTGATTAACTAACATATTGCATGTTAATATTGATTAAAAGTTGAATTAATAAGCATTAAATCCTTTGTTATTGTTTGCAGAGATCAGTCAAAATCCTATGTATGTTTGTGGTACCCTGTTTCATTGCTGATACAGCCTACAAAATCTGGTGGTATGCCACAGGAGGACCTAAAATCCCTCACTTTGGCAACCTAATATTGAGCCACACCATTGCTTGCTTCTTGGAGCAATGCTCTTGGCTATATCGAACCTCGATCTTCTTCCTAGCTTGCGTGCTCTACCGTGTTAGCTGCTACCTTCAGATCCTTAGACTCGAGGATTTCGCTCAGGTGTTTCAACTCGAAACGGATGTTGCAATGGTTTTACTAGAGCATCTAAGGATCAGAAAGACTCTGAGGATCATTAGCCATCGATTTCGAACTTTCATTTTGTTCACCTTGTTACTTGTCACTGCTAGCCAGTTTGCTTCTTTGCTAGTCATTACTAAGTCTGATGGCGGTAAAGTTGATGTCTACACTGCTGGAGAAGTCGCGGTAATTATCTTTTCTTTACTTTGCTACGACTTATTTACTATATACATTTACATACTTCCTCTATTTTTTATTACTTGCAACACGTACGTTCCTTAAGGAAATGTCATACGAAGTATTACTTATTATTAATACGGCTTCTACATGTGTAGCTTTGTTCGGTAACCCTGGTAACCGGAGTGTGCATATGCCTAAGAAGTGCAGCAAAGATCACACATAAGGCGCAAGCCATTACCTCCTTGGCTGCTAAATGGCATATTTGTGCTACGATAGACTCTTTCGACGCTGTCGAAGGTCAAACAACTCCAATCACTCGATCATTCTCGCCTCTTACATTCCCCTACTGTACACATACTGAGTCAGACGAGGAGGAGGGAGATGGCGACGACGACCTTGATAACACTAAGATGGTTCCTGTTTTTGCAAACACTATTTCCTACCAAAAGAGGCAAGCCTTAGGTAAGAATACTTTTAACTCCTTGTACTGTTGTACATACAGTATGATCATAACTAAGCAAACTTGGTAAAGATGGTGGGGTTGTGACTTCGAGGTCACGAATTTAACCCCACCATCTACATTTGCTTGGGAGCAGAGGAATTCCCTTACCTCCCCATGTATAGATATAGTCGTTAATTTTTTTTTTGTACCATTGGATTTTAGCTAGAAATGTTAGTCATAATGTTTTCGTATTTTGCAGTAACTTATCTAGAGAATAATAGAGCTGGGATTACAGTGTATGGATTCATGTTGGATAGATCATACCTCCATACTATTTTTGGAGTTGAATTATCCTTGGTACTTTGGTTGCTTAGCAAGACAGTGGGTATTTCATAATTAAGAAGTTTTATGTCACTCTGATTTGATTTCTATTCCTTGTATAGAATTTTATGTCCAATGGCTTAATGAAATGGTACATATCTACATAATATGGTATATTTTTTAAATTGATGTACTATTAGGGGAAGAATTTTGTACTTCGTTTGATTTTTTGTTTGGTACGATATTAGCTGTTGTTATAGAAAATGTATGTTTAATGTAATTTGTATTAGAATAGATCAGGATTACGGAGTATATTGTTTTGTTTCATTATGGTAAACTCGGAAGGAGAAAAAACATATGTACGCAAGTACTAATTTTGTAAGGCACGGCAAATTATTAAATGCAAGATATCTATTTACGAAGTATATGTCTATATATACTATATCTCCAAATTTTAATTTTTGTTGGTCGAAGATCTAAGATCTTTACTTGAATAGTTGAAAATTAAAAGGTGATGCTTCAAATCTTGTACGCATAGCATCCCAGTCATGACAGACTGACAGTAGCATTTTAAATCCAGAATTTGGGAATATTTGGAACATAACTTGTACTTCCTCCGTTAAATGTTAATTGCAACAAAAAAATATTTTATATCTCACAAGTAATACCCATTTGTTGCAATTAATGGAGGAAGTATATGACATCATGGTTGTTAGAAAAATGAAAGTTCAACCACTACCCTTTATATAATACTAATATTTGATATGGGATTTGATTATTTTTTCGTTAGTTATAATTAGAGCTGGCAAAAATTGACACGACAACACGACACGAACCGAACATGAAAAAAACGGGTTAGTGTTAAGGGTTTTCAACACATTTAATTTAACGGGTCAACATGACACGACATGTTTAATTAAACAGGTTGGGTTAGTGTTGAGATTTTCAACACGAAATTAACACGATCCAACCCGCCTAATATAAAAACTCAATAACTTATGAAATTATTGATAAATATATTGAATAAGACCAATATTTTTCAATTCAACACGACAACACAACACGAACCAAACACGAAAAAAGCGGGTTAGTGTTAAATATTTTCGACACGATTAATTAATTGGGTCAACACGATACACGACATGACACGTTTATTAAATGGGTCGGGTTAGTGTTGACCTTCCCCAACCCGTTTAAATTAATTTCCGACATGAAAGACGAACACGACACAACACAATTGCCAAGTCTAATTATAATGATGTGTTGGTTGTATCAAAAGAAAAAAGAAATGAAAAGACAACAAAGCGACAAACTAATATAGGTTCCTATTAATAAGACATGGTCTTGTGAAAATACATTACTAATCTAAATCATTTATCTTACTAACTAAAAAAACGTGTTAATAAAAAAAAAGTGACAAACTAATAGAAGTATATTACATTCCCATGGAATTCTTAGGAAATTGAATATGAGAATTAAATTCCAATGAAATGCAATTGCCTATAGAAATCAAATAAGTTTTTATGTCAACCAAAACACACCTTAGAATATATATTGGGTTCACCTTAATGTATATGAAGTATTTTTACTAATTTTTCATTTTTTTTCCCCAAAATTTTACTCCATAATTGATAACTAAAGATACTAATGATCAAAGAAATACTTAAAAAATATACGTGTTCATACCAAAATGATGCAATTATAGTTGACACGTTCACTTTTTTCATAACTTTGACCATTTCTTTTTTTATTTTTATTTTTTGATTACTATTATATTCTAAAACAAAATGTTACTAATATCGAGTATTAAGTAAGTTGTTAAATTTAGCGTAATCTATACTATTAAAATACAAAGTATAAGTTTTCACGGAGTATTATTATTTTTACTTAGTAGAAACAAAAAACTCAAGATTCATTTTTTTAAAGCTAATTCATATTCAGGATCAATTCTGGGTGGTTAAATTTCAATCCCCTCCCACTTATTATTACGGGTCTCAATCACCGTTACACCAACGGCCAATTATTCATGGAAGGATTATTACTTTATTACGTAGTTGAAAGCCAAAAGGTCAACTTTGGGATCGCTTGTCAAATTATTTTTAAGAAAGGGCAATCCCGCCCCGCCGGAAAAGCTGAGATAAATAACACTCCACCCTTCACCGGCGACTAGAAACTTATTAGGGGATCAACAACTCCAGATCAATTCCAGATTTCATTCAATATTTAAAGGTATTATTCTCTTGAAATTCTTCAATATTTTTTTGCGAATTAGAATCGTTCAATTTTCACAAGTTATTGCGATTATTTTGTCAATATACTCTCAAATTACGCAACTTTGTATTATTTCATCGCAGTTGATGTAGATTATTGATCAGTTTCTTGGGATTTGTGTAATTTCTTTCAATTTCCTTGTTTAATTTTGATTAGAATAACATCCATAGCTCCAATATCCTCGATTTTGTTTTAGTTTATAGGAATAATTTATTTTTTAGGGATTGCAAGTGAACAATGTCGATTATTGGCGAAAATTTGTATTTGATTCTTTAATTTGATGCTAATTTATCGTATTTTGTCTAAAAGTATCAGAATTTGTCTAGGTTTTATCTTGGAATATGTACTATCTTGGAATTTGTATTGGATGAGTTTGGTTTATGGTTGAATTTGTATTTGTATGCAATATTTCATCAATTATTCAATTTCCCATAGCTCAAAAGTGAACCAACCGCTTAATTAAAGTCCAACTTATCTAAGGAAGCGAGCATCAACTAAATCAAGCTAATCCTTATTGCGCGTGATAGTTCCGGTGTTGGAATACTTTGACCTGTAATTTTCCTAGTGTTTATTGTATTCCTCTGTGGATAATGAATTATACAAGAAATGATAGATGCTCTTCATGAAGGATATGTTTAGATTCTGGGGAGGATCCTTATGTGAGTGGGTGACTTTATACAATTTCAGAGGTTGGATCATCTTACTCAATTTACACACCCCTTGGATATGATGTGTTTGTATTGGCTCGCTAAGGATTGTCTATTTTGTACTTGTGTTTTTTTACTTTTTAAGCTGAAGTATTGACAGCCCAGTGCCGTATAAATGAACTAGGATGAATTGTTTGAGATGTCAGGGAAGGAAAAAACGATCTTTAACGTGAGAAAACATAGTCCAAAAGAAGGAAATGGATAAAAATAGGTATTTTTATTAGATGCAGTAACATATGTAAAAATAGGGGAAGTAAATGGGGGAAAAAAAGTATGCTAAGAAGGCCTAAGAGTGTCGAAAAAGGTTCTTTCTGTGTTGTTATTAAATATGCTACATACGCATTATATCATTTTGGCCTCTAGGTCCAGACATTCGAAGTCACATCTTATTGTCCTTCTAACTCTATATCATTTTTGTTGGCCCTCTTCTATGTGGGATAGACATGCATGTTTTCTTTCCTCACTATCCTCATCTGTAACATACTTGTAGTCTCAACATGTTTCCTTTTGAGAATTATTATGATTGGTTTTTGAGCTGGCTTAGTTGATATTTGGGTTCTGATGTCATCTTTCCATTGATCAATTTGTAAGTGTAGGAAAAGTAACCAAGAAATTAGGACAATCTTCTCTCAAGAGTGTAGATCAACTTGTAAGGGTTGATGATACATAACATAAATTAGAGGGCATTTTTTTTACAGTATGAACATTACTATTCCTGGCAGATTGTTATAGGCTTATAGGTCATCTATTGGTCAATTCTTTGAAGCACCAACTTGGTTTGCAAGGATGACAATTTGCAAAAGCAATGTATGTTGACATTAAGATGTTTTGCCGAAGGATCAATCTTTCATACTTCGTATAAACTATTGCTTTACTGGGTTGGGATTGTATTTTTTTAGTATTATGTGTAAGGTGTAGGTGTTTACCTGGGGCCTGGGGGCTTAGTGCATAGGTCTCTTGGTTTGATTTGTTTCATCCTTATTGAGTGTACGTGACATAATTTTTGTTTATCATACTCTAATAAATTTGTTTCTGATAATCTGCCAATTGCTTGCTTGCATCGGAAATGATTATTTATATACGGATTATTTTCCAGCATCTAACTTTGTATTACTCTTTACAGGATATAAATGGCTTCTACTTTCCGTGCTTTCTTGAACAGTCCTGTGGGTCCTAAAACAACTCATTTTTGGGGCCCTGTTGCCAACTGGGGATTTGTTGTTGCTGTATGCTTCTTTTACTTGAAAACATATAAATTACTTTTGTTGACTATAGATTTTGCAACTTATCGTCTGTGTTTCTGATGGAGCTGACAGGGACTTGTGGACATGAATAAACCTCCTGAAATGATATCTGGCAACATGAGTGCAGGTTAATATCTGTTGTTGCAAAGCAAGTCTACGCTTTTAAGCATGCTTTGATAGTCAACTGATCAACACTGTTTGTTGGTGTTTCAGCAATGTGCGTTTATTCAGGATTATTCATGAGGTTTGCATGGATGGTTCAGCCTCGTAACTACCTACTTCTAGCTTGTCATGCTTCAAATGAGACTGTTCAACTATACCAATTTTCCCGATGGGCAAGGGCTAATGGGTAAGGGTTTAGAAGAATTTCGTTGTTTTATAATATGTTTACCATGTTCGACTTTGATTGTAAATGCTTGCTTTTTTTTTTTTTTTTTTTTATTTATATTTTTTATTATTTCGGCTGTCTGTTTTCCAACTTGCCTCCTTAGTTGCCCTCTTTTAATCTTCTATGAAGTTGGTGCTTTCCCATTTTTAAGAAGGGTAATAGTAGGGGTGCTAATCGAGCGAGTCGATCACGAGCTAAGGGGTGCTCGACTCGACTCGAAAACTTTTTTCATGTGCTCAACTCGTGATTGCTAAAGTTTCGAGCCAATAAAATTTGCTCGACTCGTGCTCGTTAAAGTTTCGAGTCGAGTCGAGTAGCTCACGATTTGCTCGTTAAAGTTTTAGCCCTTTTAAAATTATAGCCCTTTATTGTTTTTTTTTCACTTTATATAGTTTTCTTTTATTTATTATTAAAGATTTACTCTTTCTTTTTTATAATATATATTAACTCTTATTAAGTTTCAAATTTGTTCATGGTAATAACTTTGTTTGTAAATTTTATATTAATAAAATATATTATCGAGTTGCTTACAAGTTTATCGAATCGAGTTAGAGCTTGCTCAACTCGTGCTCATTAACATCTTGAGTCGAGTCGAAATCGAGTCGAGCCAACTCGAGCCGAGTTTTGACCGAGCTTTGACCGAGTCGAGTCCGAGTTGCTCACGAGCTGTCAACTCAATTAGCACCCCTTACTGTCGTGGGAATTAGATTGATTTAGTCGATAATTTCTATGTGAAACATTAGTAGGCTCAAAAATACATTATTGCCCAGTTTTTGATAATAGTCAATGGAGCTGAACTGGGTTGAGCAGTCTAG